GTAAATTACATTTATTCAATCCTCAGTCGCAACTCAGCTACATACTCTTCATATCCTGATATATCTTGTGAAAGAAAATGTTTAATATGTATAAATATAAATTATATTTAGCTTTAAGTAACGCAAGATGACAAAACAAACCATAGAAAATCAACAATGAAAAACCAAACTTTAGTGTCAAAGCACAGCAGTCCTTATGAGCCATTTCATTTTTAATGACAGAACAACAACCGCCCTAAACAAGCAGCTTCGACTTCATGTCAGCATTAATTCAGGCACTGTTACATTACTGACGGCCCTGAGATATTTTCCTTTCTTCTGAAAGCTCCTGATCATTCTTAACCGCAAAAAGAATACGACATATATCCAATTCACTTTCACTTACTTTGTGATTCTGAAACTTCTTCATAAAAACTTTGACAATTATATACCTGACAAGACTCCAAGCAGTAAAATGCTGAAATAATGACTGTTTAATAGCCTACAAGGCAATCACAATATCCCACTTATGCACAAATCCACATCAATAGTAATTGTCGCACAGCACTGATGCACCGAGTGCAATAAAGGTGAACAAATTGCTGAATGAAAGACACTTACCTCCACCTGCCTCTACGTCGCACACACTGTGACAAGACAATAACATCTTGACCGCCTTGACAGTTTATTTTGGGCTTTTGTTAAGCACCAGAATAATGGCTTTAAGGAGTTTCTAAAGGTGACTGTGATGCCATTTTGATCATCAGGAGCTAAACATATGCGTGCAACATTAATATTTTGCACTTTTACATCAGCATCACACATGAAGCCAATAACAGAACTATGAGATTCCCCTTATCCAGTGGATTTTGAGGAAGAAAATTACAACAATTGACTTTAAATATCTCAATTTTTAAGGATTCAAAATGTTATATAACACATTACATATGACTAAAATTGAGCCTTACAGAAATATTGATTTTCCTTAATTTCAGTTTATTAGATGGCAGTTTTTACTTTTTCCTCCCATTTTCACCCGATACACTTTAAAAAAAAAACAAAAAAAAACAAAACACACATCCTCACACACTTTTCATTAAGCGCTGTGTTTACCTCACAGTCAACGTTAATCACGAAAGAAAGAAAAACACGGTGCGCATGTGTGTGTGCACGCGTGTGTGCACGCATGCCATCGGCAGGTCTGCAGTGTTTATAATGTGTCAGATCAGCTTCACTGCTCACGATTAAACATGCAATCATTCTCTCATTACCAGCTTTGAGTGAATGCATTGAGACTCATTTGCTGCACTCACAAGCAGGTACCAAACAAACATCTATACACAATGGTGGAATCAATCCACAATGATGAGGCACATTTGTATGGAGTGACCACAGCTCCACCTAGTGGCACTTTATACATGATTAAAAACAGGAAAAAATAAAAAGAAATAGAAAGAAATACACAAATGTCTATTTAAATATTTTTCTTTGTGATTCAAACGTACACACTTTGAAATAGTGTCTGACCTTATGTTGAGTCCAGTAGATTGCCCAAGGTTCTCCCAGGCGTGGAGCTTCTCAGTGAGCCTCTAAGTTTTAATGACACCAAAGCAAATAACTGTTTTAGAGTACAGGAAAAGTTGATGCTGATATAATACAGTCAACAGCAGAAGAAAAAGAA